GGGGGCGGCGGCAGAGGTGCGGGGGGGGGCGGGAGGCGAGCGTGAGCCGGGCTCCCGGCCTTGCTGAAGGCAAGGAGCGAGCGACCCCCGGAGTCTACGCGGAGGTCAACCCGATCGCTTGGAGCCTTCTGGGGGAGACCAAGCCCTCTCGCGTCATCCCCGGCCGCGACGCGGAGGTGGGGGGATGCTGGGTTGTCCTGCCCGATCCCCCACCTACCCGTTTATGGATGCTAGGAATCCTCCCTGGAGCCCAGGCTCCGCCCCTCTCCTTAGCTCCTCCCAGCAGCGCGCCTCATAGGGCGGAGATTGATTTGGGGGAGCGCAGCATGGGGGGATGCCTCCTTTCACGTATCCTTCTCCTTTTGAACGTGGGGAGCTGAGGATTAACAGCCACACTCCGAGTCCACCTCCTGTTCTGCTCCTGCACGCGACGGAGGAGGCGGGGACCAAAGTGCCCGCGAGTCGGGGACACGTGTGCGTGCGCGCAGCCTTCGCGGGCGTGTAAATTAGAGTCGGCTCGGCTCGGGGTCTGCATTTACCCAGCGTGCAGCGGGCAAGTGTCTAGGCGCGGGGGAGCGCCAGCCTCTCCCTAGCGCCTCGTAGCGCGCCGTGCACTTAGTGAGCCGGGCCCTGGCCGCCAGGTGCCCGGCGTGGGCCTCGATTTTGCAGCCACCGGAAACCAAGAGACCAACTGTGACTCTTTGGACCCCGTATCTGGACTCCAAGCCTTAACACCCACCCTCTCCATGTGCCCACCTGCCCGGATAACCGCCAGGACGATACGTAGACGCGAGCCTGTGACATCCCACTTGGACCACCTGACTACCTCTTCCTCGCTGTCACTACGTGGATACCTCCTCGCCCTTGTGATCCCGCTCACTTGTGGCTAAACGTGACCTATGGGGATGCGTTCTTGCTCCCCCGGGGGGCTCCGGAAAGCGCCGGGTCCAGAGTGGAGGTGGAGGTGTGGGCGGGAAAGAAAAGTTAACATCCAGTCGGAGTTGCTGTGTGGCGGCTGCGGACCCAATCAGGAACAACCACACGGAGAACCCGCCCTCTTCGGGCCCAGCGCCTTTCCCGGCCTCTTAGCCCATCTGCACCGCACCGATAAAGCCAGCAGAAAGAGAAGTTTTACTGTACCGGCTGGAAATGCAGAGGGCCTGGGACTCTGGACTCTGGGACGCCTAGTGGGCCTTGAGGGACAAACTCGTCCCGAAGGAGACAAGGAACTGGAGAAAGCAGGGCCCCAAAAGGAGTCTATTTTTTCTTCCGAGGACCGTGAGGCCGGAATACAAAGAATGGCAGTAGAAAGCTTTATTGATCCGAGCAGTTTTTCCTAATTGGAAATCTTTCCAGATTTCTTCCTCTCGCTCAGCCGGCAGAGCACACCCCGGCAGGGCCCATCCCTAGGCACCTGCGCAGGAAGGCGGCCCCCACTGCCAGAAGGATCCCCACGAGGGCCACGGTGGAGGCGGAGGCCAAGACTTTGGACTCAGGGCTCCAATCTGGGAGCAGGAGGTGGAGAATTAGGAATCCAGAGGACGGCCTGACTCCGGTCACACT